ACGCGAGGTGGCGTGGATTGTGGACTAGAGCGCAATCAGTCAGGGATACAAGGGATCAGGAGAGGGGGGGAGCGGGGGCTCTGCAGCGCCACCCCCCGGCGGCGTCCCACACCGGCGGTTGCGAGTGCGGCCGCGGCTTGTAGCTGTCCGGCTGAGACTCCCCGAGACTACTCCCCGAGACTACTCCCCGAGACTACTCCTCGAGATACTCCCTGAGGCAACCCCCCGAGAGACTCCCCGCGGCTCGCAGCTGGTCTGGCTGAGCGGCTGTCCGCCCCTCTCTATTAGGAGCGAGTGCTCCAAGTACGGCGAGGTGGCTGCCGGTGGTGGCGCACGAGGGGACCCGAGAGGGCCCGAGAGGACCCGAGAGGACCCGAGAGTAGGTTGTCGACGTGCTTGTGCACGAGCTAGCCGCGGGCGCCACCGGCGCGGGCGGCGCGCCGCTGGCCGAGGAGCAGCGCGTGCGCGTCTTCGTCAAGTTCTCGAAGCCGGGCGCCGCGATGAAGGCGCACACCGCGCTCACCCACGCGCACCGGGCCTTGCACTTTTAATGCCGTGGGGCTCCTGTCGTCTAGACGTGGAGACGCGAGGGTCGCCCCCACCACCTCGTGTGTGTAGAGAAGTTTACCGGACACTACCTCACCTGAAGGCGTACATCGGGCTTGACGGGCGCTACTTTGGCGGGCGGCACATCTGGGTCTGCTTCTTCAAGGAGGCGGACTTCGACGGGCGCAGCCTCGACCCGTCGCCTTCGGAGCCAAAGTAGCAGCCACTCTTCCGCCGCCCCCTCTCCGCCCCTAGATGTGTGCAGGGCAGGGCGCTCGGTTAGCCGCCATCGTCTGCGTCTCGAGTCCGGGCTGCTGTGCTGTGTGCAGTCTCACCACAGTCCACGGCCAGGCACCGCAGCGCGGCCCAGCGGTTGTCGCCGATCTAGAGCATTTCTCACAAAATCTACATGTATCAAAAGAATTTCTGTCGGCTCTCGCTAGTGACGGCTTTACCATGGCATGTGGCCACACATGTAGATATGTGCCAAGAACCAAATAAATAAAACGGACACCTCTACTAGGAGATGGGTTGTTGCACGAGTATATGGGACACGATGTCTCAAATATGAGGGGTTTTGACTCCTACCAGCTCCTGACGCTATCCCTGGCAGCTCTAATGACCAGGATCAGTAGTGCTATAATAGAGGGTGCCCATACTAGCGCAGGAGCTGCCACACTCGCCCGGACCGTCCCTTTCTGGGTCCGGTTCCGCAGCCCGCGAGAGCCGACAGCGGGGCCGTGCCGCGGGTGCCTACTGCCGAGTGCCACAAACACTGCGCCGTCCCGCCATCAGCTACAGGCTGTCTTGTGTGATGGTTGGGATGTCCAAACGCCACCATCTTGGCTCTTGCGACCTCAAACCCGCGAGCTGTATGGGTGGTCCTGACGTCGACAGACGCCCGAGGACCACGGTGAAGCTGAGCCGGAACGCGTCGACAAGTCTCGTCTGAGCCCGTGGCGGTCGCCGGCTGAGTCGCCGTGCACGGCCCGGTACCTCAGGCGTCACCTCCGCAGCCTCAGGTCTCAAACTCCACCACCTCCGACGGACGCCGTCGGTGGCACGCTCGGCGGCGAGTTTGTGGCAGCTCCACAGCGAGCGCGGCATCGAGCCTACCCACTCCAGTTGGTTCGGCACACTCGGTGGGGTCCACTGAGTGTGCCGAACGCGCGAGCGGTGCGTCCCGGCAGCCCGCGCTGGCTGCGGAGCTGCCACAAACTCGAGACACGCTTTTTTGGGACATTTTCGACGCTTTTGTCCCATATACTCGTGCAACAACCCAGATGGGTAAAAAGGAACAGGTCCCCGCCCTGCGGTCTTTGTGCAGGGTTCTTTGTGGGTGTGGTCGGCGGCTAGCCGGGGTCGTCCTCCCGATGGGGGACTAGCACTAGCCAAGAACCAACGGAAGGAAAGGCGGAAATATATTGCTCAGTGCAGTCTCACAGAGACAGGCTAGTGCCATTTCACTGTGGCACAGCTCGCGTTACAAAACCTTGATTTGACCATTTGCGCAAAAAGGTACATGTCGGTGCCTTCCAGAGGCAGCTGCGACCCCGCCGAGTGGACGGGCGCACACAGCAGGTGGCGCGGTGTGCAACCGTCCACTCGGCGGGATCGCAGCTGCCTCTGCGCGTCCTGGGGAGGTACAAAAGTATCGCCGCCGGAGACGACTCGAAGCCGCTGAGATCGGAGATCAAGCTCTGACAGGTCGCATCTCGCTCCTTTGACGCCGACGTGACTCACCCGTGCAGATCACTTCACCCCGCGCAGGACAGCGTCCAGCACGCGCGGACGTAGGGCTCGCATCTTCGACCCTGGGGAGGCCGCGCTGCCGGCGGAGCACTGGTGCTGGTGGCGTGTTGTCGCCGTGTCGGGAAGGTCTCTTCCTGGTCCCTGCCCGCGGGCATGCCTGAGGCGTGAGGGCGACGCGTCTCGCTGAAGGGTGGGCAAAGCAGCCTTGGCGCGCGGTCAGGAGGGGGGCGTGGCCATTGGGGAGGGGGGGGGGAGGGGGATCCGACCCAGGAGCTTGTGATTGAACTATTGTGCGCTCGTGGTTCGAAATGCTATGTTGATGCCTGTGGATGGTCTGGCACGTGGGAGGCGCACCTAGGCCCTTCACCTGGGCCCGCCATTGATACTCCGGGGCTACGTAACGCCGCGCGCGGGTCGGCTCTAATATGATTCAATTCTTATTGCGAGTCGAGTGCGCGTTGGCTGCGGCGCTTTGATTTCTTTTCCCTCGCGATGTCCACCCCGCCGCGCCGCCGCTCGCGCCGCCTCGCCCCCACCTCCTCCGCCGCCCCCTCGCCAAGCGCGCCGCCGCCCGTCCACCTCCTCGACCTCCCCACGGACCTCCTCTTGCGCGCCATCTCTCGCCTCGACGGCCCCCTCGACATCGCTCGCGTCGCGGCCGTCTCGTTGCTCTTCCACGCCTCGCTCGCGGTAGAGAGCATCCGCTTGTGGGCGCAAGAGCGCGGCTTCGAGCTGCCGGCGCAGCCAGAGGGCGAGAGCTGCGCCGTGCGGTGGCTGTGCTATTCGGCGCTGCTGTGCGAGGCCAACCCACCGGCGAGGGCGGCGGCAGGCCGACAGCACAGCGTCTTCATCGACGGCGAGGGGCGGCTCTCGTCGTGTGGAACGACTCAAGAGCTCCTCGGTCACGGCGAGGGCGTGACGCAGCTCAACACGCCGACCCGCTTCCCGTTGACGCTGGGTGAGGAGCGCGCTGTGAGCGTGTCAGCTGGAGATGGCCACAGCATCGCCCTCACCGGCAGCGGCGCCGTCTGGAGCTGGGGCTTTGGTCTCTGGGGCCGGTTGGGCCACGGCAACGAGCAGAGCCAGCTGCTGCCGAAGAAGGTCGAGACCTTTGCTGACCAGCGCGTCGTCGCCGTGTCAGCAGCGCAGTGCCACAGCCTCGCCCTCACCGCCGACGGAGCCGTCTGGAGCTGGGGCGGTGGAAGCTGGGGCGAGCTGGGCCACGGCGACCAGCAGCACCAGCTGCTGCCCAAGGAGGTCGAGGCCTTTGCTGGGCGGCGCGTCGTCGCTGTGTCGGCTGGAGATAGTCACGGCCTCGCCCTCACCGCCGACGGAGCTGTCTGGAGCTGGGGCGAGGGAGGCTTCGGCAAGCTGGGCCACGGCGACCAGCAGAACCAGCTGCTGCCCAAGAAGGTCGAGGCCTTTGCTGGCCAGCGCGTCGTCGCTGTCTCAGCTGGAGGCTTCCACAGCCTCGGCCTCACCGCCGACAGCAGCGTCTGGAGCTGGGGCTATGGAGAGCGAGGCCGGTTGGGCCACGGCGACCAGCAGGGCCAGCTGCTGCCCAAGAAGATCGAGGCCTTTGCTGGCCAGCGCGTCGTTGCTGTGTCGGCTGGAGGATACCACAGCCTCGCCATCACCGCCGACGGCGCCGTCTGGAGCTGGGGCAGTGGAAGCTGGGGCAAGCTGGGCCACGGCGACCAGCAGCAGCTGCTGCTGCCGAAGAAGGTCGAGGCCTTTGCTGGCCAGCGCGTCATCACTGTGTCGGCTGGAACCCGCCACAGCCTCGCCCTCACCGCCGACGGCGCCTTCTTTACCTGGGGCCAGGGCGAACTCGGCTGCCTAGGACACGGGGAGGACCTGTCGGACCAGCTGCTGCCCAAGAAGGTCGAGGTGTGGGCGCCGGGGCTCGAGCCGGGGCAGTGAGGTATCGCGGATCGACACATGCACATGACATGCACATGCACATGCACATGTACATGTACATGTAGCATGTGCATGTGGAGCATAGAGGATGAGGTAAAGCCGTAGGTCGCCCGTTCTCCGAGTGATTCAGTCTCCGATTGTCGCTGTCGGGGGGCACACACACACGACTCCGTGTACAACCCCCCAAAATAAAAAAGTATGGAAGCGTGCCGGCACGCGGGGCGACTCTACTTCTCGGACTCCTCAATCCAGCTCGTCCAGATCCACCACCTCCCCTCCCCCAGCCCCTCCGCCCTGGTCCGCACGCCCATCCGGTCCTCCTCGCCCGTGTTTCCTTCCGCGAGCCCGAGGGCCGCGCCCTCCTCCTCCGTCAGCAGGTCACCAAACAGCTGAAGCAGCTCCTCCTGCAGGCTGGCAGGCTCTCGTCTTGCAGCAGCGCCTCCACCTCGGCCTCCACCGAATCCTGCGCCGCCCACGCCCGCGCCGCCGCCGCCGGCAGCCCCGCCCCCCGGACCTCTGCGCCGCCGCCCTCGCCCATCCTCGGAGAGGCTGCGCCTCCGCCCCGCCAAGCGAAGCTCCCTCCCGCCGGCCTCGCCGGGGGCGCCTCCCGCCTGCCCCTCCCCCGCCTCGTCTGATGTCGTCTCCCTCCCCAAGCAGCAGGCTCTCCAGCAGCTCGGAGAGAGGCAGCCCTATGTATTCTAATTTCGTAATTGTGTCTGAGCGCCGCCTCCGTTGGAGACGTTTTCAAGGTTAGCGTGTCAGAGGTCAGAGCGGTGAAATGGCACTAGTCAAAGCTCTGCCATTGTCAAAGCTCAAACTGACACTGCGTCTCGCATCACACTGTATTTTGATGATACTCTATCATGCGTCAGCCGGCAGCGCGCGCCCCTTCGGCCCGCTCACTTGGACGGCCTGCGGTCCTTTGTCGCCTTGGGCGATCCTGAACTCGACGTCCCAGCGAAGGAGCTGGTTGAGCTGCTGCTTCTTGCCGGCGGCGCGCTCCATCTTCACCTCTTTGATGTGAAAGAAAATCGTCTTTCTGCCACTGCCAGGCTTGATGAAGCCAAAGCCCTTCTCATTCCACTTCTCGACGGTCCCAACCTGCTTGCCTGAAGACGGCTTTTGCCCCGGCGGCCACTTCCGTGGCCCAGATTTTGATCGCTGCGCTCTCGCCTGTCCGCCAGCGCCGCGCTGCTGCTCGCGTAGCTTAGCTGTCGCCTCATCGCGCTGCTGCTCCGCGAGCGCCAACCGCGACATAAGCGCTTTCGCCTCCTGCCGAGCCTGCTCCTGCCAAGCCTGCTCCTGCCGAATCTCCCACCGCCGAATCGCCGGGTCCTCTTCCGCCAAGGCTGCCACCTGGTCCGCATCTTCGCCATCGGAGGTCTCTGCGTCGTGATTTGGAGCGCACACTGACAACGGACGGAGTACGAGCGCGCCGCTCGCGATGCACGTCCAGTCTCTCGAAGAACTCCTGCATGCTGGAGGCGCCAAAGCGTTCTACCCAGTCTTGCGGCAGCGGATCGTCGAACGCCACATGGAAGACGTCGGACTGCTCAGCCGCAAGAGTTCGGCCGAAGATATCGTCAGTAATGAGGAGGAGCTTCAAGTCACACTCAAGAGAGAGCTTTGCGGCGTCCCACACCATGCACACATCAGCGGCTTCTTTCTCGTTGCTCCGTGTGAGGTGCGTCGCGCGACCAGCATGGGCGTGGTCGGGCGCACAATACGAGCGAAATTCGATTCCTGACTGACGGCACAAAATAGAGAGAGGCTGCAAGCTGTCGGCGAGGAACGCCAGATTCTCCAGGTCAAGAAATACGTAACGCTTGAAATGGAGCATCGGCGGCACAGCATCTGCCGAGCGTCGCTCGCGCGTGCGGCGCGGCATCCGGTGCTCCTGAAGATGACGAAGAAAGAAAGAAAGAAAAACCGCACGCGCAGAAGATTTTCACGTATTGTGCGAAGAAAGAAAGAAAAACCCCAGTGGGAGTATTGCAAATAAAGAAAGAAAACAGACAACCAAGGGAGGGATGGGAGTATTGTGCGAGGGAGCTGTGTTTTATTGGTAAAATTCTTTCGTAACGAAGGCTGGTCCGAAACGCCCGCCGGACTTGCCCGCGTCTGCGACTAATGATAGCCATCGAGCAGAACCAAGCCACGGGCCTGCGCCGGGTCGCCGTGGCGCTCAGCGCCGCCGCCATCACCTCTTTTGTTGCCGCGTATCACGTCGGAGTCGCGCCTGCGGTCCTGTTTGACAATGTGGAGAAGTTTGGACGCAAGAAGGCTGCCGTCGCCACCTTTGAGCGCGATGATACCTGCAGATCTCGCAGTGGGCCGGTGCACTCCTTTCTCAACTCGGCGGTCGATCGGGTCGTGGCCAAGGTGCCCGGCTCGAGGGTATCCGACCTGGCCGACGAAATAGACATCAATGTGGGCCCCGTGGAGGTAAAGATAGCCGAGCTCATGATTGAGGCCCTCGCGGTCGGGTCGGTGGACTATGACTCGTGCGGCGGGCTCGCACACGGCCTCAAGGTCCACCTCTCCGGCATCGACCTTGGCATCGGGCTCCACTACGACGAGCATGGCAAGTGGGGCCGCAGTGCAGCCAGTGGCGACGCCAAGACCGATGTGACAGGCACCATCGACCTCACCATCTCGGAGCTCTCACAGGTGACAGACTGCGAGGCCCATCTCTCCGTCGGCGAGATCGTGCTGGTCGGCGAGAGGGCGGGCCAGCGCGCCGCGTCGAACATCCCCCTCCCCATCGGCAAGATCCTCTGCTTCGGCCGCGGCTCCTTTGAGGGGCTAGTCGCGATGCTGAACAACGCGTTTGCGTCGTTGCAGGACAAGAAGCCGAAGGTCCTCGGCGAAGGGACGTACCTCCGACCTGGCCGTGTGTGATGCGGGCAAGCGTCGCGTGGGCGTGCACGGCTCTGAAGCCTCGCCTTCGGCCTTTCCCTTAATTCGCTCCCCTGGTGCCTTACGCGTCCGAATTTCGTCGCGCCGGGCTGAGTCCTGCTTCTGAAAATTTGCCCCCTCTGGGAAGGAGCCGGAACGCAGAGCGCCGAGTGTAAAGTTCCAAAATAGAAAGAAAACAGACAACCCAAGGGAGGGATGGGAAGTTCCACACTCACTGCTTGGGGCACTTGATGAAAAGCACGTCCGCTTGTCCTTTCAGGACCACCCATACAGCTCGCGGGTTTGAGGTCGCAAGAGCCAAGATGGTGGCGTTTGGACATCCCAACCATCACACAAGACAGCCTGTAGGTGGTGGCGGGACGGCGCAGTGTTTGTGGCACTCGGCAGTACGGGCACCCGCGGCACGGCCCCGCTGTCGGCGGCTCTCGCGGGCTGCGGAACCGGCCCCAGAGGGGGACGGTCCGGGCGAGTGTGGCAGCTCCTGCGCTAGTATGGGCACCCTCTATCATAGCACTACTGATCCTGGTCATTAGAGCTGCCAGGGATAGCGTCAGGAGCCGGTAGGAGTAAAAACCCGTCATATTTTTTGAGACATCGTGTCCCACATATACGGTTGGGCTAAGTTTCTCCGAGACCTCGGGAGCGGGCCGGTTATTCACACCTCGGCAGTGTGGTCCATATACTCGCACAACGGAAGCGGCTCAAGGAGAAGGCGAGGAAGGGGCGGCGCGCTGCAGAGGCGGCGGGCGAGCCGGAGGTGGCGCCATCGCCGGCGCCGCCGCCGGTGTTCAAGACGCTCAGGGAGAAGAAGGCGGCTCAGGCGTCAGCGGAGGGCTGGGCGGCGGAGGTGGCGAGGGCCGAGGAGCTCTACGAGGAGCTGCGCGAGCGCGCGCCCCAGCACTGCCGCCGTGGCGGCAAGTGGGCGCGCGAGAAGTTCGTGATGGCGGTGCAGGGAGAGTTCCCACGCGCGCGAGGGGCAGGCGTTCCCAAGGGGACGGTCCTGTGCCTCGGCAGGGTGCTCGACGCGCACGATGAGCAGGATGACGCGGAGGGTGGGCACCGGGACTGGGAGGAGGACCCGCTCGGGTTCGACACCAACCCGATGCTGCTCCGCGCCATGTGCATGGCGTTCGAGTGAACGCCGTGCAGGCAGCCTGTGCCTTTTGGTGTACCCCGTTTGTACCGCGTCCTGTGCCCCCGAGTTCATTTAATAAAAAACGAGCCGGCTTTACCACATGGCATGTACCAACGATTGTGAATTTCGGGAAAAATGTACAAAAAACCTAAAGTAAGCACCGAAGGAAAGGCGGAAATACTCGAGTAGAGGGAGCGGACCAGCGGACCGTGAGTTGAGGAAATCGGAGGACGCGACCCACTTCGCCACAGACGGTCCCGCGCCTCGCCGCTATGACGGGTAGACGACCGCGGCTCGTGTGCGTGTACCCGTCTTTGTCCGGAGTGAAAAGTCCAACGCGCTCGTCGGTGACGGTGTCCTCCAACCTGCGCCGGGCTCGGCGAACCTCGACAGCGCCTTCGATGGCATGCAGCTCTTTGCGTCAGAAGCCTGGAGAGCAGCTCCTCGGCTGCTCGCACGCTCTGCACAGTTGACACAGCCTACTGTGCGGCTACCACAGCTGTGACAGCGATGGGCTCGCCCTCACTGGCCCTCAGTCACTTGTGCTGCGGCTTGTGTGAGCGACACTGCTCGGCGACTGCCGGCACACTGTGAGACCATGGGTGTGAGGTAAAACCACGCTACCAGCGCTTGGTCACATCGGCCCCGAGGTCAGATCCTTCTACTCTGTTAGTGACAAGACTTGTCTACTGGCTGGAGCCGAGCAGGAGGGCCCGGCGCACAACCCCTGGTCAACTCACGGTCCACACCCCGTATATTAACCTATATTGCTCAAACAAGTGCAGCGGTCTCACAAAGGACTAGGGGCAATCACTGTCAAAGCTCAAACTGACACACTGACACACGACGTACGCAGAAGCAGCAACCCCCTCACATATATTTTACACGTGGCACTTCGAAAAGGCAAGCACACTCAGGCAACTTCCACGTGTTGACTGAAGTTGCCCCTCCGAGGCACGCTCGCACGGAGCTTGCGCACGCCAGAGAGCCAAGCGACCGCATGTGTCGGAGGACTAGTCACTCCGTCCCTCGCGGCGGCTCACCCCCCTGCGGCTCCAGCCCCGCCAACGCCTCGCACACCGCCGCCTCCGCCGCCTCCTCCTCCGCCGCCGCCACGCCGAACGCCTCTCGCGCCGCCTCCGCCGCCTCCGCCGCCTCCTCGCTCCGCCGCACCGCCGCCTCGTACACGCGCAGCGTCGACTTGAGCGCAGACTCGAGCGCGTCGCACCTGCCGAGAGCTTCCGCGGCCGCCTCCTCCGGCGCAGCCGCCTGGCGGGGCAAGTAAGGCCAGGTCAGGTTCACTTCTCCACACACACGAGGTGGTGGGGCAAGGGCGGGGCGACCCTCGCGACTCCACCTCTGAAAGGCAGGAGCCGAGGGAGTGTCCAGGAAGTGTCTATGGCGCCGCTCAAGCTCGGATCTCCGCTAAATCTCCGCTGCATCTCCACTGCATCTCCGCTACATTTCCACTACATCTCCGCTATATTTGCCGCCTTTCGCCGCTCAAGCTCGGCGGTGTCGATCTTGTCGTTTGCCCAGTCAGCGAGCACCGGTGCCAAAATCTCCTGCACACGCCTCTCCAGCACCTCGCCGCCGCCGCCGCTGCGCGCCGCCGCCGCGGCGGCAGTCGCCCTCGCCGCGCGCTCCTCGATCTGCTGCAGCCGCACCCTGCGCGCCGCGGAAGCGGAGCGAGCCTAAACTCTCGACCTCGTGTGATCTTCGGGGAATCTCCCGCCTTGCACGCCAGGCCAGAGCGGCGAGCTCGCCCGTGCGCGCCCGCGCCGTGAGCCGGGGTCGGCCGCACCATCTCGGACGATCTCGGGTGACCTCGGGCGATCTCGGCTGCGACGCGAGTCGGACACGGCTGCCTCCGCCTCCTCCGCCGCCCCCGCTGTTGCCTCCGCCGCCGCCTCCGCCTCCGCGCCCGCTGCTGCCTCTGCCTCCGCCTCTCCCTCCGCTGCTGCCTCCGCCTCCGCTGCTGCCGCTGCTCTGCCGCTGGGGTGCCGATCCTGTGCCCCCCACGGGGCGACCGAGTTGGCGCTCGTCCCGCTGCTGACGAGCCCGTGCGGGCCGAGCGCCTTGCGCCCGCCCCCATACCCGTCCGGGCTGCCGCTGCGCTCTCGCCTTGCTCTTGTCGGTGTCGCCTTCCACGGCCGCTCCCCTTCACGACGCGTCGGGCCCAGCAGGAAGACCCGGCCTTCTCCCTCCCACGCCTCCTCCTCTCCCTCTGCAGACGCGTCCTCGACGCACAAGGTGCCGACCTAACGACAGGACCCGCAGGTGAGCAATGGAATGCTACAACGACAGGGCCCGCTCACGAGCGAATCCACCGCATAGTGCCGCCCGCCGACCGTGCGCCACCCGACGGTCCACACGCCGCCCTCTCCGTCCCACCAGACGATCTTGTTCGGGTCGCCCACCTGCTCGTAGTACCCGTGCCTCTGGTACTTGTTTTTCCCGCTGTGCCCAAACACGCCCTTTCGGTAAATGCCCAAGTACGGCGCCGCGTCGGCCGCGTCGGTGCTGACGAGGCAGATCTTGTCCGCCATGTGCTGGATGCCCGCGGGCGCCACCTTTGCCGGCCGGAACATCGCATCGTGAACCGGCTCATGAGACTGCATGCAGGGAGGTAACCCACAGCCGCGCCGGCCATTGGGAGCACCACGCAGGAGCGCCGTGTAGCAGGGCGCGACGAGCCAGGCAAATGCAAACATCCGAGTGCTGCCGGCCGGTAGGCGGCGCCAACAGTCTGGGAATACCTGGGTTGAGCGCGATGGAGGCTTTTGAGTGGACGGTGAGCTTGCGGCCGCCCGCACGCGCCCGCATGTGACGGAAATTGCCCCGGGTAAGCTCGAGTGCCCGCCTCGTACCACGCACCCGCCACGGAGCACGCACAGTCCGCGTCAGGACGCACCGCGGCCTGCGCAACAGCCGCGCAAGCGCCTTTCGGACGACACCGCCTTTGCGCCGCTTTCGCAGGTGGCACGTCGCCGGGGCGCGGGTAGAGGCCGGTCCATCCGATAGTTGGGCGTCCGAGGCACGCCCGGCCAGCTCGACAGCGGCCAGTTCAAGTGTTATCTTCGAGCTTTGATACCGCTCTCCGGTGCGCCTCTCTCGCCGTCGCCCGTGCGAGCCGCCGCCCCGCCGCGCGACCCAGAGCCGCCCCGATCCACCGCCCGCCCTCCCGTCACCGCGCCACGCTTGCCTGGCCCGCCTCGGCACCGTCACGGCGCGCCTGCAGCGGATAGCGGCGGCCCTCGTCGCCGCAGCGGCACGGCAGCACGCACCAACGATACCTGTGCCTCGCAGGTACCGGAGCGAGGGCGCCGTCGCTGTCACGCGCTCCTGTGCGGACCCGCGCGCCGCGTGCGCGCGCCGCCGCGTGCGCGCGTCTCTCGCTCTCGCCTCATCGCCCACTCTCGACCGGCAGGCGGCTCTTCCCCGTCAAGAGACGAGGCCGCCCGGTCGTGGAGCGGCGATTACTGCGGCGATTACTGCGCCAGCCGAGTTTTCGCCGCAGCGTGGCGGGACGACACGCGCACGCTTGCGTCCGGGCTCGCGTGTCGTTCCGTTCGCGACGGCCATTACGGTCACTTGTGCATGTAAATAAATAAATAAAAACGGACACCTCTCTACTGTGAGATGGGTAAAAAGGAACAGGCCCCCGCCCTTGCGATCTTTGTGCAGGGTTCTTTGTGGGTGTGGTCGGCGACTAGCCGGGGTCGTCCTCCCGATGGGGGACTAGCACTAGCCGTCTTCCACATGGTCCCTCGGGTCCCTGCTGCTCCTAATCTCTTCGTACATCCTCCTGCTGATCTCCGCAAAGTCCTGCTCCCTCCCTCGTCTCACCCTGCGCGTCTGCTCCGCCTCACCGTCTTCTGCCCTGCGTCGTCTGGCGACGGGTCCTCCATAGTCGGTCGAGGTCGCCGCCCTCCTCGTGCCTCTTCCCAACGTTTCCTCGGCGGCCGATGCCGTCTGCTCCGGCTCCCCAGTCCCCGGGTCTGCCCTGCTCTCGTCTGCGCTAGTTTCTGCTTCGTCCTCACCGGCGTCTCTCCTCTTCCCTCTCCCCTTCTTGTATGCTTTGCACATCGCGTCGATTCCTGTTCGCGTGAGCACCAGCCTGAAGCCCGCCCAGCATCTGAACCGCTCCCTAAGTCGAAGGAGCATCATCAGTCTCACCCACTTCGCTCTCTGCCCACCGTCTCCGCTCCCTCCCGCTTGAGCCGCCCTCGTTCGTCCCACTGGCTGTTGGCCTGTTCCCACGTTACCTCCATTATCCCTCCTCCTCCGCGACTCCCTCAAGGCTGGCCGGGCCTCCTTCCACCCAGCGAAGAGCTTCCTCAGCCACTCGATGTGTTCCTCTCTCTTCATTATGCGCGCCGTAGCCTCATCATTGAGCTGGATCCACCTCTGCACCGCTCCCGTCGCCGCCTCGGCCACGACTTGCAAGTTCCTCGTGACCCCGGCGCCAAGGTCCCTCCGACTCTTCTCCGGGAGATCATCTACCAGCGCCAATCGGCAGGAATTAGCATTCGCTGCGGCGCGCTGCCCTCCCACTCCGCCTGCCCTCCCTTTGCCTTTGCCTGGTGGCCTGCCTCGCGGCCTCCTCCGTGCTGGGCACTCTCCTCTGCCCCTGCCGCCGAGGACGCTTGTCTTCCACTCGTCCCGCCGCCGCTGTAGCTCGGGCCCACCAAGCTGGCGACACAGATGGCGATATTCAGCCTCCTCTCGTTGCCCGTTTGCCAGCCCATGTAGGTCTCGGAACTCTGGCCAAGTCATGAAGACTCCTGTCGCTGCGTTGGTGATGTCCGCCCATGCTGCCACCCCGCGCCTCGCCAGGCACCGCGCAAAGTCGCACGCACATTGCCCCTCGTATAGCATTGGGCCTCGCTCTGCTCGCTCCTTATCTGTCACTGCCCATGCACTCGGGCGCAGCGGGCCCCTTGCCCTCTCTCTCCATCCTGCTGTGGCGAGGGTGTCTGCTCCACTCCTCCACCTGGCCTTCAGGTACGCCTCGATGACGAGGTCATCTGAGAGTTCCTTCTCCCAGTCCCAGGGAGGCTTCCACTCGAGAGGGTTGTCGCTCCTGCAACCCAAGCGCTTCAGTGTGTGCGCGAGGCTGCTCTCCACAGCCAGCCTGGCTGGCTCTCCCTCCGTTGCACACAGCGCCCTGTCCACTTGATCCACCAGCGCAGCGACCGCATAGGTGTATGCGTGCTCCATCTCCATCCCTGCCCCCTCCTCTGCGTCGTACATCTGCAGCTTTGGCACACTTGTGCATGTAGTGTCCGCCTGTGCTTTTTTTGTGCACACACGTATCCGTGATCGCGTGACTGCGATGATTTTGCACTACACTCTCTCCCACCGCGTCTTGATGCGCAGTCGCTTTGCACGTTCCATGCGTGCCTCCACGCGCGCGCACACGGCCGCGCCCACAGCTGAGAATGGAGCACTTGTGTCACCGGGCGGGGCACGCGCGGCAAGTGGCTCCAGGTCGGCACGGTTCTCGTACAGGGGGCTTGAAAAATATAGCAATCGAATGGCGATGTTGTTGCTCCTAGAAAAAAGCGAGCCCCGCTGGCGCGCTCCCCATTCCTCTAGCAGCACACGATAGGCATCACGAGTCGAAAGCCCTGTGTGTGGTATCCGCACGTTGGCACTCCCGTCGACGAGCCAGTCCTGTTTGCCTGGCCTGCGACGTGGGACGGAGCGACGCGTCGCGGGCGAGCACCGGCGACAACCGCGGCCACTCATGAGGCGAGCCTGGGCGAGGGGAGGGTAGCGAGGAGAGAGGAGGGAGGAGAGAAGTGTGCGGCCAGCCCGCACCGGATGGAGAGCGGATGGCGCTCTGAGAGCGCGAAGAGGAGCTCGTTGACGGCGTCGTAAGTGCGCGGCAGCACATTGCGCAGTGGCACGGCCGACGCGCCCGACTGGCGCCTCCCTCGCGGCCGAGGCCGCTGTATCCTTGGCGCGCGCAGCGCGAGCGGCGCTGCGTCCGGCTCAGCCTCACCTACGAGGCAGGGCGCGTCGGGGCGGGTATTGTGAGCGCACAGGTGCTGAGTAAATGTAGTAGAGCGGCCAAATTCCAAGTCTCGTCGCCATTGTCGAATGTTATCTTCGCAAACTACTGGCCGACTCGCGGCGTCAGCCGGGCGCGGCTCTCTCGGCGCACCGCCGTCGGCAGAGGTGAGCTCAAACAGCGGCGATACCTCGCACTCAGCTCGCGTCCGCACCCGCCCGGCCGCCGGCGAGGGTGTCGCTGGCTGGCCGCGGCGCTGGACCCGCACAACGCGAGCCATCGGCGGCGACCGGGTCGAGGGCGAAATCGGCCACTCAAAACGGCGCTCAACCCAGGTATTCCCAGACTGCAAGACATTTGTCTATCTTGCAATACATGTATCAGAATTTTCTTCTCTCGGAATTTAAATTCTTCTCTCGGAAGCGGCTCAGCGTTCCTATGTCTGACCCGACCTCTCCTGCCCCGCCCGAGCATGATGGCATTCGCACGCAAGCCACTCACGCGCCGCCCTGCCTAGAAAAGACTCCCCTCTCCCGGCCGGGGTGGCCGCGGGAGCCAGAAAAGAAAGGCACGGACCCTGTCTGGTATAGCCCCAGCCGACTCCGCGGAACTCTCGAGGGTTTAGCTAGAACTCTGTTCACACCGAGCAGCTGGGACAGGCACCCACCCGGCGCCCGATACAAGCAACCGAAAGCTGCCGAGGATACAAAGATGATGTGCGGCGACGCGCGCGAAAGCCCAACGTCCCCGCTCCCCGCGTCCGTGTCTGCGCCCGGCAGCACGAGCGTGGCCGCGCTGATCGCCGATGCCGACGGGGGTGCACTGGGTGAGCGGCTAGCGGCGATGGGCCTCGACGCCTCGCGCTCGTCCAGCTTTGCGGCGGCGGCGGCGCGACTGCTTGCCGCCGGCGTGGCGCCCGAGACTCGCGCGACCGCCTTCTGGGTGCCCGGCCGCATCGAGGTGCTCGGCAAGCATACCGACTACGCGGGCGGCCGGAGCCTGCTCTGTGCCGTCAACCGCGGCTTCTCTGTCGTCGCCGCCGACCGCGACGACGCCATCCTTCGCGTCTTCGCCTCGTTCGAGCTCACCGGCGAGGCCGACGTGGCCGAGGTGGCGCTCGCGGCGGCGCCCGAGGCCGCGTCGCCTGCCGGCTGGGCCGTGTACCCGGCGGTGACCGCCCGCCGGCTCGCGCGCAACTTTGGCATTCGCGGCAGTGTCTAGGAAGTGTCCATGAAGTGTCTAGGCAGTATCTAGGCTTGCGCGCAACTTTGGCATTCGCGGCGGGGTCGATCTGGCGCTGAGCTGCGACCTGCCCGAGGCGTCGGGCATGTCGTCCTCGTCGGCAGTTGTCATCGCCACCTTCCTCTGCCTGAGCGCGCGGAACCGCCTCTCCGCCCAGCTGCGCGCCCGGCTGCCGACGGCCGAAGCGCTCTGCCACTACCTCGGCTGCGTCGAGAATGGGCAGGACTGTGGCCACGAGCTGCCGGGCGACGCGGGGGTCGGCACGTTCGGCGGCTCGGAGGACCACACCGCGATCCTCCTCTCCCGGCGCGCCGAGCTCCGCGTCTACGCCTTCTGCCCGACCGCGCTCGAGGCGCCCCTCCCTCTTCACAAGTCCCACGCCTCATCCCCCCCGCACCCCCCGCCGAGCGACGCCGGGTCATTCCCTGTTTACTGCTTCGTGGACGGCTCCTCCCTCCCCTCCTCCCTCCCCTCCTCCACCCCCGACCCACGCGTCGTCGGTGGCCAGCCGATAGTACCACCCCGCCTCTCTCCGTTCTTGGCCGCCGTCGACGGACGGCACGGCCTCGCCAAACTCGAGTCGCCTTGCCGCCTGCCCGCCGGCACGGCAGTGTCTAGGAAGTGTCTAGGAAGTGTCTAGGAAAGTGTCGCCTTGCCGCCTGCCCACCGGCCCCGCATCCCCGCACAGACTCGTAGCATCGGTCCGATCGCAGGGCGGCGTGGTCACTGGTGTAAGCAGGCGCCAACCTCACGACGCCATCTCGCATGCCTTCCCAGGCCACCCTCCCCTCGCCGCCCTCCCTGACTTGGCTCATCGCTGTCTCGGGCGCGACGGCCCGAAAAGGCGCCGAGCGACTCGCAGAGTACAACAACGCCGCGCTGCTCGCGCGGGCAGCCGCCGCGGCGGCCACGGCGCCGGGCACCGAAGGCGTTGCGAGCGGGCTGGACGCTCGCTGTCCGGGCGCCGGCGGCGGCTGTCTGCGCGCGGGCGGCCCCGCCGGCTCTGCAGGTGTGAAGAGACGCTGTTCACAGCCGCCGCCCACGCTCGCATCGGTGACGGCGGCGGCGGCGGCGGAGCTGGGGCTGCCTCGGTCGGACCAAGGCGTGCGGCGGGCGGTGCTCGCACGCATTGCGCCCGCCGACCGCGGCGGCGGCCCCTCGGGCTTTCCGGCGGGCGCGCTGGCGAGGCGTTTCTCCCTCTCCCTCTCTTTCTCTCTCTCTCTCTCTCACACACACACACACACGCACGCACGCACGCACGCACACACACACACACACACACACACACACACACACACACACACGCACACACACACTCACACTCACACACACACACACTCACACTCCTCTCTCTCTCTCTCCCACTCACTCACTCTCTCTCTCTTCCTCTCCCTCTCCCTCTTCCTCTCCCTCCCTCCCTCCCTCCCTCTCTTTCCCTCCCCCCCCCCCCCCTTCTTCCCCGCGCCGCGAGATGGCGCGAAGAGGCGCTGTTCACAGCTCGGCGCAGCAGCAGGCGGTACGAGCAGTTCCACGCCGAGTCGGAGGTTCTCATCCCGGCCGTCCGCGGCGCCCTGTCGCAGCGTGAGGTGCCCCTCCCGACGCTGGCGTCCCTCGTCGACCGCAGCCAGGCGCTGACCGCCTCGCACCTGCGCAACACCCTCGAGGAGACCGAATGGCTGCCTGCAGCGGCGCGCCGCCTCGGCGCCGTCGCGGCCTCGGCGTTTGGCGCCGGCTTTGGCGGGAGCGTGTGGGCCCTCGTCGAGGCGGGTAGGGCGAGAGAGATCCTCGCCGAGTGGAGTCGTGCGTACGCGGAGGAGTACCCGCACCGGCAGGCCCACGCGCGCTTCTTTGCGATGGAGAGCCCGCCGCCTGGCGCGTGCTCCGTCGTGTGAGGGGGGAGCGCGAGTCCTGCGACATACGTGTGCGAAGAAAAGAGGATGCCCTCACCTCCGAGAGGCAACTCCGCTGCTACCGCGCGGAAGAATTTAAACAAAACAACTCTCTCTCTCACAGCAGACGGGCTGCTCGCCACACAGGTGCGGACTGCGACTGGCGCGTGCTAGCACTATCACTCAGGCAAACCACCGGAGCCGCCTAAGCGACTCCGGTAAGCACGGCAATGCACTTAGCGCCGTGCACAATGCCGCTCTCCCCGCACGCCGCACGCTAGCTCGTTCAGAGAGAGAGGCCTCTCTTTCTCGTTCACCGTCTCCCGTCTGCCACGCCACGGCGGCGCCGCGGAGAACGACAGACAAGCGCTGCATCTGCAGCCCGTGCCAGTTCTTGGTGGTCCATGTGACCTCATCGAGGTGCTGATTGATTGATAGGAAGGTGAAGAACAGCCAGGTGCTGAGCGCGCGGAAGAAAACAACCTGATACAAATCTTCATTGCGGATTGGATCGTTCGCGTAGGCCTGGCTAAAAACTATGTCCTATCGGCCTCAGTCTGCTTTGTTTCATCTTTGTTAAACACGCCACGCCCGATCTGGCTGTGTGAAGCGGATCGAAAGAGCCTGTGACATTTTTGGCGGCGAGGGCGGCGAGGGCGGGCAGGGGGAGAGCTCAGAGACGCTGAGCGCGCCGGGCGGGCTGGGCACCACGTAAAACCGCGGCGACAGCGGCGGCGGCCGTGTCTCCCGGCGGCCGATATGGCCGGCGCCGTGATGCTGCGCCGCCGCCCCGCTGGGCTGGAACCGCGGCGCGGGAGGTGCGACTTAGGTCAGCTTGCAGCCGCCTGGGGTAGTTGGCCAAAGAGCAGCGCACCAGGTCGGGGTGCGTGCCCGGGGGCGGCGCTTCTCTCCACCGTGCCTGAGGCCACCCCAACCACTCACCAAGCCTTACGAGGGCGCATTCGCAACTCCCTTTATGGTTTACCCACACTATGCGAGCACGGAGTACAGGCCAGGTCAGAGTATATATCAACCCGTTCTGGCACTATCCACTAACACAGGTACACCATAAAAAGAAATACTGCGCGCCTCTACTAGCAGGTGGATAGGGACACGTGTGCCACCTGGCACCTCTGGCTCTGCGTCATGTCACAATCGCCCGCCCGCCGCCAGCGTCGACGACGGCTCCTGTGTCGAGAGGCGCTCCGGTCGGCCCGCCGGCGTTCTTGCTGTTGACGGCGAACTCCAGGCCTACTCCGCTCCGTCCGCTGTCTCCGTGCTTGCCGTAGCGCGTCCTTCGATGCGCGGCAGGGCGGAACACGCGGTCCGCGCAGCGCAGCGCGGAGCGCGCGAGCACGAGCGCGCCCACGAGCGCCAGCGCAATCACCGCAGCGGCGGCACCGAGCGGCAGCCGCACGCTCCCGGCGTCGACGGTAGGCGGCGCCGAGGGCGGCGGCGGCGAAGACGGCGGCGATGACGGAAGCGCCGGGGCTGTCTGCTGCAGCACGGAAGGCGGCGGGGCCGTCGCTTGCGCCAACGGCTGGAGGTGGAAGGTGGCGATGAGTGGCCAGTGGTCCGAGTAGTCCATCGGCGGCGTGCTGTGGTCGATGGTGACCGCCGAGAGCTGGTCGAAGAGCGGCCCGGAGACGAGGAGGTGATCGAGTGACGAGTGCTCGGACCCGCCCTCGTCGACACCGTCCTTGGGCGCGTGGTCCCACCAGTCCGTGTACCGCTCCCCTCGCGGAAGCCGCGAGGCGACCGAGTGCAGCTCGTCGGCTCCGGTGGCGCGCGGGTCCTTGAGCATGCGCAGCACGCGCGACGTGGGCCGCGAGCCGGGCGCGTCAAGGCAGCACGGGTCGGCGTCAAAGTCGTTGAGATCGCCGAGGACGACGACGTACGGCGTCTCACCGAGCGCGGCGACGAGGAGCCGCTGCGCGATCCTCGCCTGAGCCTCGCGCTTGTGGCACGACCGCGCCTGCGTCGGGATCGCCTTGAGATGCAGCCCGAGCACAGCCAGCGTCGCCGGCACGCGACGCCCGCCGCCGCTCGTGGGGAAGTCGATGCGCAGCCGCGCGAGGTAGTGCCTGTTCACGGTGGTGAGAGGTGTGAAGAGGCGCTGTTGACATAATACAGCGGCTGCCGCGCGAGGCAGTGTCTTGTCTTGTGGTTCTGTGTGTCGCTCCTGTGTGGCCGTCACCGCCCGTCTTGCGTCCACCCATAACGCGTTGGTGTCCCAGTCGTTGGTCGGACTGTGTTTCGCCTTCCCATCTATCTATCTATAGTGCTTGGAGAGGTCGGTCGAGCCGCGCGCTGCGTCGCCGCAGCTCGAGTTGCCGTCGATGGGGAAGGCGCGCCGCTCGGTCGATCGCTCGAGGGGCGCCACGGGAGAGAGGCGCGAGAGCAGCCCCACCTGCTGCCGGAGGGAGCTTATCCCATATCTCTCCATATCTCCCCAATATCTCCCAATATCTCCCCTCCTGCTGCCGGAGGTAGCTGTCGGTGCCAGGGACCATGTGGCGCTCGTACCCGCCGCCGCCGCCGCCGCCGCCGCCGCCGCCGCCGCCGCCGCCGCCGCCGCCGCCGCCGCCGCCGCCTTGCGAGGCGTTGGCGTTGAGGATGGCGGCGCACGCGGCGAGCACGTCGCAGCTCTCGACCTCGGTAACGTGTAGCACGTCTGCGTCGAAGCTTCGCATATGGCGCGCCACCCTCTCGAGGTGGGCCGCGGCGCCGGCAGCGTCGCACTTGTTCAGGCCGGACTGGAGGCCGGCGCAGTCGCTCGAGCCCGCCGCCCACGGCGACATGCTCGGGTCGCACTCTCCGTCGTACAGCCATTCAGCGTTCCACGTGCCGATCACCAGCCTCTGCGGGTCAGCGCGCCGGTCGGTCGCCTCGCTCGCCGCGCTGCCGCCGCGGCAGTCGCAGCAGTCGGTCACAGACGCGGCGCAGCCACCTGGCCTACTCTGCCCTTCGGAGGGGGGGTCGCCCGACTCGCCGCTCGGCCACGAGCCCTTGGGGTGCACGACCCACTCCGAATCGGCGGCGGAGGAGCCGGCCGACCTCGCCCAGTCGCCGCAGTTGCCCTGCGCGATGCTGTCCTTTCGCTCGAGCGTGTGATCCTTGGTGGCGTGCGGGACGCCGGCGACCGGCCAGCCGCCGCTGCCAGGGTCGGGGCCGAAGTCGCCGACGGCGTCCACGATGATGTGCGAGGACTTGTGCATCAGGCCGTGCACGTCGTTGCCGTTCGAGAGGTGCCCCCACGTCTGGTTGGCTGGGTAGTTTGAGGGCAGCCGCGCCCGCGGATCGGCGATGCGCCACCGTGCGCCGCTCGGCAGCACCGCGGCCTCGTCCAGCAGCGTGACGGTGTGGTACGCCGGCTTCCCTTCGGTGTCGCAGCCGTTCCAGCACGACACGAGCTCGTAATCGTCGCCCAGGCGGACGTCGCCCTCACATTTGTTGACAATCTCGAGCGCTTTGTCGTACGATGCGCCCTCCACGTACGCGCTAAAGAACACGCAGCTGTGCTCACAGCTGCGACCCAGCGTTACTCCCTCAGGCATTTTGACTTTCTGACTGACACGGCCGATCGGACAGCAGCAGCGCTCCACAGAGCCGCCGTTGCGAGCATTTGTTTTTTTTGTTTAGAGGAACGTTTACCGGTACCGAACCTGTCGGACCTGTCGGACCTTAAGACAGCATTGTGGATCCCTGGAGGGTGATGGCGTCCCCGTCCTGAGTATTCACCGCCGGCCCAGGGCCGTGCGTCCTCCCCTCAGGCAGACGCCCAAGGGTGGGCGACGGCTACGGGCTAGCGCAGCCTGCACCACACTCCTCTCCTTAAAATCCCTGTGGCGGCGTGCCGTCCCCCCATCCCTCCCTTGCATTTGCGTTTCTTTTCTTTTTCCACACCCCTCCCTGGCGCCGTTTTCTTTCTTTTTTGTCGTGCGAGGGAGTGTTTTGAGAGAGATTTTTAGCACATTACCAAACAACTTTACACTCACACACATTTGTTTTGTTCAAAGTTTTGACGTACAATTCTTTCTTTCTTGATTCTTCCAGCTCACCTCAACCCCCCCCCCCCCCCCCCAAGCTCGTGACGAAGCACGAAGGCTGTGTCCTGACCTCCTGTGTGGCTCGAGACACACGGTGAGCCCACACGACCCGGGCACACACGGGCACAGTCACTAGTCTGTTGTGTTCCCTAGTATAGCGCAAAGTAGTTGTGTACCGTATGTGAGCGGCTGTGGATCTGGAAGACCACACAGCGACAAACCAATTTATATACACGGAGAGGGGCTGGGGGGGGGGAGGGCGCGAGTGCGTCCTCGTGCACTGGAGCACTGCAAACCTCCGCCTCGCGTGAGACGGGGACCTACTGTGTGAATACGTTTTCCACGTATTCCAAATGACCTCCCAGAGGCCTGTATTCTGCCGTATTCCACCCGTATTCCACGTATTCCATGGAATACGCCGTATTCCAAGCTCCAAAAATGGACGTATTCCGTATATAAAATTTTCCTCGCTCCGCGAATTCACACAGTAGGACGGGGAGCAGTGCGGCGGGGCACAGCCGAGCGAGCGTTACTCTGCGCGGAGCCGGAAGACGAGGGGCCTCGACCCGCATCTAGGCCTCTCGCCTGAGGCGTAACTCCGCTCTTCTTCCTCGCAGCGACCAGCGTATCTTGGCCCCTCGAGTTTATCGAGCTGGAGGGGCGATTGTACGACGCGGCTCGCAGAGAGAGTGTGTGTGCCGGCGTGCGTCCGCAGCAGCGCCGATGCCGCTGGTTATCTTTTTCTGGTGTGCCGGTGTGTGTGCTAGTCTGCGCCAGTCCGCGCCCTCGATGTGCCAGTGTGCTAAAAAGAAAGAAAAAAAACCGTTTGCTTGCTTGCCGACGGTGTTCCCCTGGCTGGTTGTACCCCTCGGCCGGTTTGACGATGGCACTCAAGGCCTTGTTGGTGGTCGCCGCTTCTGCTCCCAACATGGCACAGACCCTCTTCTTCTCCGAGTACGCCGAGGGCTCCTCGCACAACAAGTTCCTCGAAATCTTCAATCCGACCAATGTGCAGGTCTCCCTCGACGGCTACGCGTACCCGAGCGTCGCCAACGCACCCGCCACCGAAGGAGTGCACGAGTTTTGGAACGCGTTTGACAGCGGCGCGTCGGTGCCGGCGGGCGGCGTGTACGTCATCTGCCACGGCTCGGCGGACGACTCGATCAAGGCGCTTTGCGATGAGGAGCACACTTACCTCTCAAACGGTAACGATGGCTACTGCCTCGTGCAGGGCACCGAGTCGAATTACACGTTCATCGACTGCGTCGGCGATTTCTACGGCGACCCAGGCTCCGGTTGGGACGTCTGCGGTGTGAGCGCGGCGACGAAGGACAACACTCTCGTGCGCAAGTCCACTGTCACCACCGGTAACGGCGGCGACTGGACGGCGTCAGCGGGCACGAATGAGGTCGACTGCGAGTGGCTAGTCGAGCCAAAAGACACGTGGAACTTCCTCGGCTCGCACGCGATGGGAGTGGCATCGCCCTTGCCGCCCTTGCCGCCATCACTGCCTCCATCCATGCCTCCGCCATCCACGCCTCCGCCCGTGGCGATGCCGACCACACTGTTCGCAATCAACACCAACCACAGCGGCTCGGATGGGGCGTGCTATCACTCAGCACGCGAGGGCGAGTTTGTGCGCGTTGAGGGCTACGTAACGGGCGTGTCTTACGATGGCTTCTACATGCAGGACGAGGTGGCCGCTGCGCTCTACGCAGGCGTCTGGGTGTACACGGGTTCGGGCTCGTCCTACCTCACCAACCTCACCGCGGGCGACAAGGTCGGCGTGGAGGCGCTCGTGAACGAGTACTACTCGCTGACCGAGTTACTCGTTGCCGACACGCCCGCGGCACTCGTTGAGCTCCTCTCGACGGGCCACACGCCCTTGCCGCTCGCGACGACGACCGGCGCGATCGGCGAGGGGTGCACCGAGAGCGGCGAGGCTCACGAGGGCCTCCTCGTCACCGTCTCGGGCGGCGTGCAGCTCCTCTCCGAGGCCAACAACTATGGCGAGATCACAATCGACGACGGCTCAGGGCCCACGCAGCTCGAAGACAGCATGCTGAGGACGGAAGCGCACCTGCAATCAATCCTCGGCGCCACGTCGCTCACCGGACAGAGCGTCTCCAGCGTGACGGGCGTGATCAAGTACGCGTTCTCGAGCTTCGAGATCCACCCGCGCGACGAGAGCGACATCGTCCTCGTGTCGCCACCACCACCGCTGCCACCGCCGCCGCCGACGCCGCCACTTGCGCCGCTGCCGCCCGGCGGCGAGTACACGCCCGCAGTCGTCTTCACGACCACGCTCGACGGCGACATGACCACCTTTGACAGCGCGGCGTACGCGGCCAATCTCGCCGAGCTCGTCGGCGTGTCTCCCGACTCAATCACCCTTGAGATCTCGAGCGTCCGCCGTGCACGCGCGCTCGCGGCGTTCACCGTGACGGCAACGGTGATCACGGCTAGCACTGCGATCGCCGACACGATTCAGATCACACTCGCGGCACTCAGCCCGGAAGAGGCGTCCACGGCCCTCGGCGTCACCGTGACGGCGGTGGAGGAGCCGGTCGTCTCGAGCGTCGTCGTCATCGCGTCGCCGCCGCCGCCGACCGAGCCTGAAAGGACACAGGAGGACGCAGGAAAAGAGCTGACAGACGACGACGACAACAACGTTGACGAGGGCGGGCTTAACGGCGGGACCATCGCGGCCATCGTCGTCGCGTGCGTGCTTGCGCTGGTCATCGGCATTGCCATTGGCGCCATGATCTTCAAGCGGCGCAAGGGCAAGAAGGCCTCGCTGGGCACGGCGGTGCCTGTCGAGATGGTCGTGCACGAGTAGTTGACGGGGTCAAAGAAGAAGAACGTCTCGCGTGAGACACCTTTGTTGAGATCGACGACGACGTCTCACATCCCCCTGGAGCCCTCTCCATTATTGTAATATTAGTCACCGAGTTGTAGCGAGCGCACAAGCTGGCGACAGCACGGCGTGGGGATGTACAAGCGGTTCGAGAGAACTAGCACGCAAAGGGTGGGTCGAGAAGAAGGCCACCTTCTCTGGCCACCTTCTCCGGGGGCGCTGTCTGTCGTCCTCTGTGTGTCTGTGCCTTAGGAGTTGTGATGCGTACGAGTGATGTGTCGTGAGAGCGAGCGCGGTGGTGTCCGTCTCGGTGAGGTTTAGTCGCGGCTCGAGCTCAGGTGCGTCAGTCGTCAGAGGGCCCAGCCAGTGAGGTCAATATCTCGGCGCTGATCTCGCCCGCGAAAAAAGAAAGAAAGAGTGCAGACAAACCCTAACCCAGACGAGGGATGGGGGACCAGGATATGCAGCAAAGGAGGGCGGAGCTGCGCCGAAAGGCGAAAGAAGCCGCGAGAACAAGGGAACGGCAGGCGGCGGCGGCGGCGCAGAACGAGGCAGAGGAGAGCGACGCGACAGAAGAAGAAGCGACAAGGGAGAGCACGACGAGAAGGGGGCGACCGCGAGGTGGCTCGAAGGTTGCAGCGAGAATCGGAGAGAGAATGCGAAGAGAGATCGGAAGAGGCGGACGCCCAAGGGTGGGCGACGGCTAGCGCACCACACCCCTCTCCTTAAAATCCCTGTGTGGTGGCGGCGTGCCGTCCTCCCATCCCTCCCTTGGGTTGTGCGTTTTCTTTAGAGGGATGGGGGAGGAGGACAGGGTCCCCACCTGCACGAGCAGGATTTTGGAAGGACGATCAGGGGGACAGGTGGGGCTCTCCTGCGACTCACTCCTCCTCATCGTTTTTGGCCTCCTTCCGTTCGGCCCGCGCAAGATCCGTTTTCTTAATTTGCACACTCGACCACCACAGGACGCGATGTTGACTGCACCGCTGTTTGCAGCAGCAGCGCTCGTGGCGCCGGCGTATCCATCCTCTGGGCAGCCCGCCATCTCGCTCTTTGTCCTCTCCTCAGAGAGCCGGACGCCGGCGTACCTGCTCTGCCTCGACAGCTTGGCAGGACTGATCGCCCGCGCCTCGCCTCGCCTCTACCGTGTTGCTGACAGCAACTGGGCGACGGGAACATCAGACTCGTACGCGCTATGGCTGCGCGAGCTGCGACGTGACGTGCCGGTGAAACGAGAGCATGATGATGGCCAGCGTGCAAGCCGTCGTCACCCGCTTCGCGAGCGAGGTTAAGGGTTTCATCCTCGCCGAGGGCTCGACAACGTGCGTGGCGCTATCGTCTGCAGAGCAGCTCGGCTCGCTCGCGCCGGAGCGGGCCTGCGCTCCGGCTGGCCGTAGGCGGCCGCCTTTTAAGGTGACGTGATCCCGAGGGCAATGTGCATATGTGTAATACACGGGTGCTGTGCCTCACTGACGCGCATGCCCACCTGCGCAGCACATGTGGGCATGGGCGAGTCCCGACTCCGTCTCGGCCGCGCTCACGCTCGCGGCGGCTGAGGACGGCCTCATCGTGGCCGCTGGTGAGGCTCTCGCAGCACAGCTCGAGGCCGCCGGCATTCCCATGCACGTCGACGCGCGTAGGTGGACGGTTGGCGACGTGCTCAAGCGACCAGGAGTGCTGGCGGTCCTCTCGCGCGACGTCTTCGTCTTCCAGTCGCCTGCCAAAGCTCAGTTCCTCGGTGATTACGCCACCTTCACGCGTGCGGCCTCGCTTGCCTTCGACAGCGAGCCAGACGCGCAGCGAGCCCTTCTTGCGTCGCGCGGCCACATCAGCACGCGCACACCACTCGGCGTCGCCTTGGGCTGGGGTGCAGAGAACGAGTTCGTATCCTCCACCACAACCCGTATGCAGTCTACGTGCACGCCTCCGACTATTGCATCAACCTCGCGGCGCTCAGCAACGCTGGCCCCTCGGCCCGATCGCTGCCAACTCCTTCACCGCCTCCGCCTCCGCCTCCTTCACCTCCACCTCCGCCATCGCCTCCTCGCCACACTGTGGCATTCGTCATGACCGATGGGGATAACTTGCAGTGGACGCTCGGCCCCTTCTCCACAGACACCACATGGTGGGGGAGCACGCAGCGCGGCCGAACCCCTCTCGGGTGGACTTTCAGCCCAGCCACCGCCTTCCTCTCCCCCGCCACCCTCTCCTGGGTCAATCGCACGCGCACCCCGATGGACGAGCTCATCGCCGGGCCCTCTGGCGTTGGGTATATCTTCCCTCAGGCATGGCCTGCCCCCTCTCGCGCTCCATTTGCCTCCCTCACAGCTGAGGGGACAACGTCTCTGCTGCCTTGTACTACCCGTGGGGTGGGGGTTACAGCCAGCTGGAGGGCCGCATGTGGCGCGGGCACGGCAGTGGTGAGGAGGGCAAGGGGCGCGGCAAGGGAGCTGGCAGTGGCAGTGGCGGAGAGAAAGGGGGTGGAGGGCGAGGTGGAGAGGGAGGTGGAGACGGCAAGGTGCTGATCATTGGCCGCGTGAGCTTGTGGGGCGATGGGGACAAAGGGACGACGCTCGGCGTCAAGCCAATGATCTCACGGCTCCTCTCCATGCCGCGTGTGAGCTCCTCCCCGGATGGCTACTCGATCATTCCGGTTCACGTATGGAGCCACTCGTACGCAGATGTGCTGAGCATCGCGACTGCGCTCGAGGCGAGCAGCGGCGTAGACGTCGTGCTGCCGTCCGAGCTCATCAGTCGGCTCGAGGAGAACGTCTGGAAGGCCACCCCCGGTACACCTGTGACACCCCGGCCGCGGGTAAAGGTAGCTGGTCGCAACGAGTACACGTGCTCCGACGGCGATCGAGGCTTCTGCGCCAGGACGCAGCAGTGCTTTACGTCGCTGGCGTTCCTCAAGGGAGACTGGCGCAGTGGTTGTGCCTGATGTAAGAGAGGTTAGTGGGGAGAGTGGGCCCCGAATTTAAAAGCGCGAAGACGCCGTGTATTCTTTTTTTGAGCTTAGCCTTCGATGTTATGAAACAAACGCAAGGCGGACATGGCATATCGCTCTCGGGCCCACAGACATCCGTCATCCCCCGCACACCCGCCGCACACCCGCCGCCCCCGCACGCGCCCCACCCCGGCCGGGAGAAAGGGGAGTGACAGTTTGGGATTGAAAGTCGAGATACCTCGCACTCCATGTGCGAGAACGCAGGGTAAATGTAAGCCGGATGGCTCACAGGCCACCTCTTGCGCCCCGAGCTTACCATCTACCGCACTGAACACTGCTGCCCCCTCGCTCCCAACCCATCCATCCACCTCGCCGCGAGGCGCCGCGCAATCTCGGGCGATCTCGGGCTATCTCGGAGCTCCACGCCACGCCCCCCCCCCCGCCCCCGCCGCCGTGCCACGCTATCTCGGGCGATCTCGGAGCGTCGCTCGCGCGGCGGCACACCTGCTCAAAAAAGGAAGGGCCCGGTTGGAGCCACGGGGTCACAGACTAGTCTTTTTTTGCTTGGCCGGAGTGCAGGAGCAGCAGGGACGGCGCGGGTTGCAGGGGGCGTTCTTCTTTCTTTGCCTTCTCCAGAGCGCCACCCAGGGCTACTGAGATTTCGCGTCAACCGGCGGGCACCTTGCACACACACATGCATATGTTGATGTCCAGTTGATGTCCAGCGCGGCCGAGCCGCACGTGGCCGCGGTGTTGCGAGGCGACGAAGCGGCGGTGCGTTCGTGGCTCGAGAGAGGCGGGCGAGCAAATACCACGCGCGAGCATGGCAAAGCAAGCAACGTTACCCTGCTGATGGACGCCGCCATGATGGCTCGATCGCTGCAGAGGCTAAGTGTAGAGCGACCCTCTAGCCCTACTACCCAACCATTCTTGGAGCGCTCTACAAAGGTAAGGTAAATTTCTCCACACACACAAAGTGGTGGGGCAAGGCGGGGCGACCCTCGCATCTCCACACCCGGACACGGGCAGGAGCCCCACGGCATTCAAAGTGCTAGCACTGGCCCGGTGCACGTGGGTGAGCAGCCTGCCCCTCTCTCCCGACAAACCACAAATCGCACTCTACTCTCTAGCCGTCCCCTAAATGGCTAAAATACATAGTTATAGACAATCTAAGACAATCAAGAACACATTTGACATATAAAGCCGGAGGTGTGGCTTGAGCCTGTTGTTCATCTTCATGACCGGCACGGTGCCGGTTCATGTTAGATGTTTCATGACGATATGTGTGTTTCACTTGCTCACCCCCATCGACGCCTCTCCGAGGCGACGCGCTCGAACAGTCTGACCCCATCCTCTAGAGCGAGAGTGCGAGCCTCACTCAACGCGGCGCGGGGGTCGGCGGCACCAACCGACGCAGCCGCTCGTCTGCCGACGCGCCGCCCGCGGCGGCCTGTCGCCCGACACGGGCCAAGAGCGGGGCCGAATCGCGCAGCACTTGCGCTGCCAGCTTTAGGTCCGCGGCGTCGTCGAGCGAGAGCCGTAGCGACGCTCGCAGCTGCTGCGAGCCGACGCGGAGCCTCGCCGCGACCTCGGCGCCGCCGACGATCGCCTCCAAGTCGGTCCACCCGGTCTTTTTCGGCCGTGACCGGCTCGGCGGCGGGGGGGCGGGGTGCGCCTGAAGTCAGATGAACGTCCTCCACCCACACAAAGTGGTGGGTGG